CTTGAACATGTTCGTCCGTGCGACGGGCATTCATTATTTTTGTCTGCTCGGTGATTTTCCACGACTGCAGTCCAATTTATGAACACAACAAAAGGTAAGATTCTGTGATTTTCTTTATGTTATGTTATGTATGTATATATATATGCATACATAGAAAATACCCAGATCCATTCTCATGAATACTAATGTTTGTATTGTGGAAAAGAATCGAATCTGCGACCAACGGAAGAAAGGCGATGTTCTAATGGGCGTTGGATATTATAATAAAAGAGTCAGTCTTTATTATTCTGATTTTACTACTTTAAAGTGTTTTTTTTTATGGATGATAATGGAATGGAGCCGCCGCCTGCGCTAACAGTTTACGCTGGCGGGGCACCAGTGGAGGATGAAAAGATGAACATGAGGTCAGGTCAGTTAGCCTATCGTAACAAATTCACCAAGAATTTATCATGATGGTTTCCAGAGGGAACCACGTGGAGGTCAACCTGACATGGTACATTGCTAGTAATGTGGTCATGAGTCCACATTACTAACAATCCCCTTCCCCCAACTTAAAAATGTTTTTTTTAAAGGATGATGTTTTTTTTTAAATGGTGCACCCACCTGCTCTAACGGTTTACGCTGGCGGGGCACCAGTGCAGGATGATAGGATGTCATGAAGTCAGATCAGTTAGCCCAACGAGACAAATTCACAGGGAATGTATCACGATGGTTTCCAGGGGGAACCGCGTGGAGGTTGATCTGATATGGTACATTGCTAGCAATGGGATCATTAGTCCACATTACAAACAATTCCATTCCCCCCCACTTAAAAATGGTTTTTTTTTTATGTGATAATGAAATGGTGCACCCGCCTGCGCTAGCGGTTTACGCTGGCGGTCAGTTAGCCCATCGTGACAAATTCACATGTAATTTATCACGATGGTTTCCAGGGGGAACCGCGTGGAGGTCAACCTGACATAGTACATTGATAGCAATGGGGTCAAGAGTCCACATTACTAACAATCCCCTTCCCCCCACTTAAAAATGGTTAGACACAACAGTTCACGATTGGTCTGACGGGAGTAAACGGTTGAGCACTTTGCTACTACGCTTACTTCCTACAGTTGCGGGTTTGATTCCACGCACGGTATAAGCATTTGTATTCAGGTGTTTGTATTAGTCTGGGTGTTTTCTATGTTTATATTAACAAAAAATGTATTTAAGTATTTCTATATGTTTTCTACTAACACAAGCTCTGCTTAGGGAGACATTAGAGATTGGACTATTGTCCAGGGTTATTATTACTACTAATATATATGCGCAATCCACAAATTTTATTCCCATTTCCATAGACCTCTGAAACTCTATATAACGTATACCAACCAAAACCAAAGACAATAATTTTTTTATAAGAATTATTCTTAGTATTAATACATCACAGGTAGAGATATATAAATACAAAATAAAAGACACGTGTCTGACCAAATGTTTTGGGTATTAGATGAAAGTATTGGTCATTTGCTCTCCGAGCCGTGACATCTGTCTATTGATCAAGCATAGCGATCGTAATGTTTTGTATTTTTTATATTGTTTAGGTCTCTTTCTGCTAGCCTAAATGTATAACTGTAATGTAATATCTAGACTTGTGTACAGGGTGTTAATTTATTACGCCATTAGATATATTTATTAATTCGATATACGAAATTGAAACCGTTAAAAAATATTTACAATACCATAGATGTCTTCACACTTATGCTATATTGAAACTGGTAGTAAAAGAGCTTATTCATTCGGTATTTAAAAATCCGGCAACCCACTGGCAATTCCCTGGTTTTACGGGTATCTACCCATGGGCGGTGGTAATTATTTATCATCAGATGATCCGCAAGCTCGTTTGTCCCCTATGCTATAAATAAATACAATCATACAATATGTTTACGGAAGTATATTTCGTAAAAAGTCATTCTCGTATTTTCTTTAGTCGTCTATATCAGCCTCCAAGTAATTTGCTTTGTGAGCTGTATTTTGGTTTGAAGAGTGATATAATGTATTCAAATTCAATGGCAGGTATTCAAAATCGACTGCTTCGGTGGTCTAGCTGTTTAGCACGCCGCTTTACTTCCAATTATAGTAATAGTTGGATGCCTGGCACGGTACAAACATTTGTATCCATGAGTATTGTTTGTGACTGTCTGGGTATTTTCTATATATATATAATATGTATGTATTTACAAAAAAATATGTAAGTATTTATATCGGTTGTCTAGTACCCATAACATAAGCTCTGCTTGCATTGGGACTAGATGGCGTTCTGTGAATTGTCTAAAATAAAAGAAAAAGAAATAAGTAAAGTACAGGATAAAATACAGAGAATTGGATCTCCTATGATATAATCATATGATCCGTAGGGTTGTCCATGTATTTAAGCGACAGTTACCAGTTACTATGAGAAGGGTCTGTAGTTAGTTTGCCATCCACATTACATAAAAAAATATATGCGATAGTGTGTATAGATGATTTTTACATCTTCTCGAATAAAGATGATAGATTTAGCAGTCTTAATAGATAGATTAATTAGTTTTGATATGTAGAGATGTCGGGGTAATAGCTTAGTATTCTAATGTATAAATAGGTTTTTACTGGTGCATCTAGTTTTTAAAGGTGTAAGGTAATTGGAATAGTGTATCCACCTGCGCTAACAGTTTACGCTGACGTGGCACAAGTGGTGAATGATAAAATGAGCATGACATCAGGTCAGTAAATACATCGTGTCAAATTCACCAAGAATTTCTCTCATCATGGTTTTCAGGTGGAGTCAACCTGAAAACGGGATTATTAGTCCACATTACTAACAATCCTCTTCCCTCGTCCGTAAGGGGTTATTATAGTCTGGAAAGGTTTAATGCATCTTATTTGTTTTATATCATATTATTATTTTACTTAGTACTTAATTTGATATATTAATAATTCTTTGTTTTATACAATATATAATAACGAAATTATAAAATAAATGTAATCATGTTATACTCGTATTTGTCGTATATCTTCTCTTATATATAAAAATATATGACGTTTGTTAGTCTCGCTAAAATTCGAAAACGGCTGGACCTATTTGGCTAAATTTGCTTTTGAAATTCTCGTAGAATTCCAATGAATGTTTAAGCGGTGGGAAAATATGAAGAAATTGCATGGAAAATAGCAAAAAATCACAATTTTATTTTCCCATACAAACTGTTCGTACGTGTCAAACAGGGTGCGTTCAGAAATTTATTGTGTAACTAAACTTCAAAAAACATTTGACATATTATTTAATTTTAACGCGGAGCTGAGATCGCGGGGTCAGCTAGTAGTTATATATTTTATTGTGTTCATTTTTTATTATTAGGCTCACGCCTAATAATAATATTATATCGAAGGCGCGTACGCGTTCGCGGGCCCTAAATTAGATAAGTAATTACTCAGAGTTGTTAATACCATTGCATTCCTTTGCATAGCAATGTTTTAATTAATCAGGTAGACACATATTGTATTTATTATATTCCTAACATATCCGTTTATAAAATAATTTCTTTAATTGCAAATTTATTGCCCTAAATAAATTATAATTGATCAGTAAATATACAATGACAATATTTACAGGACTACATTAGGTACTACTAGTTATTATGTGTATATTATATTATAATATATTGATTTTTTTATTTACCGAAAGACGGTAGGGAAAAAATATTAATACAAAAAAATTTACGTTCATAAGCAGCTAAAATGTTCTACGTAAATAAATGATTTTTGATTTGAATTGTTCCTACTGGAAACTTGTCGCTGAGGATTTAGGCTACTATTAATATAACTATGCTGGCCAAGCGTCTTGGTTTTATGACCATAATACAAGTTCTGTTTTGGATCTAGATGGCGCTATGTAATATATATGTATATAAGTACTTGTGCTTAGTTCCTAGTATAAATTAATGATACTATTGGTCTGAAAAGGATTGATGGTAACAAATTATATTGTGACTACATACAACACACGCTATTCAGATATGGAGTATAAGAATTTACTGACATTACATGTATATAATGTCATACAATACATGAACAAATAACGTTTGCGTGCCCTAACAGGGTCCATACTGATTTAAACATACAAACTGTAAACATTATGGAATGCAATAAATATTTATTCTTAATAATAATAAATTCATAAAAATAAGATTTTTTTTAAACTTTTTTACAATGGGACACAATACATAGAAGGGATATTTACCAATCGCCATTTTGTAACAGTGTCGAAATATCGGGAGCGTATAAATAAAGTTCTCACGACAAATATCTCGTTTTTGTATTGTGTGCAAAAATAAGAATTATATATTACTTTATTATTATTTTATCTCTATTATGAAATCTACATATTACGTTAAGTAAAAACTTCGTGCCCCATTTTATGAATTGCACGGACGCAGGAGTATGAAATTTCTCACTCTTATACTTTATATAGAGAAGGAGTGCAGAATGCTAATATATATTTTTTTTAATTATGCATATAACAATATTTTAAAACAATATAAAAACATAACGCACTAACAGGTACTTGATAAACACATGCATATATCTATACTCCATTGTTTAAAAGTAAAGTCAAAGTTATAACTTAAATTAATTATAGTTGAAATTCGAATTTTGAATTACGAATTTAAAATCACTACTTAATGGAAATAGTTGTAGGACATAACGATAACGTCTGAAACAGTCGGTGTTTTGAGAATATCTGTACACGGAAAGATGAATTGAGTGGCGAAACTATTATAAAATAATGATGACAAAATTCATTATTTAAAAGAGTAATTTAATTTTAAAACTTATCCATTATGTAAAGAACGTGACAATCTTCATTTTAAACTTTCAGCATTTTTATTGTCTTGTGACAGCTCTATACAAATCTCGGGTAGGCGCTTTCTGTGGATGGAGCGCATTCACTATAAATAGAGGTAACTACTGTCAGTCTGTACATTGCCTCACAGACCACTGAGACAAGGGGCCTTCGCACCCCTCAACACCTAAACCAATAATACTCAAGCTTTTGTGAAAGTTTTGGAAGGTTAGATTTTAGTGATCATATTTTTTCAGTGCGATTTTAGATTATCTATAAAAAAAAAATTTTTTTGCGACATCTTTCTAATTATTAAATTTATTGATTATAATTTTTATGATTTTATTTAATTAAAAGTGTTAACGGTTAATTATAAAATGTGATTTCAGTTCGACTGACGAAATGAAGAGCTTCAGGATCGTGTTATTATGTATTGGTGAGTTATTTTGTAATTATTGATAATTAACACCTGTCTATACGCGGATATTACAACTGAAACCAAACATTGTTATCATATATCATAAATATTCTTTATTCATGACATTACCATTTTATAAATTGTTTTACTTACGTTAAACAAAAATTACTATTAAATTTTGTCTAGTAGAAATGAAACGTGAATAATTAAATGAGTAAATGTACTTACCAAGTGGTATCTTACTAAATAACTGCAATAATTTGAATTTTTGTTTGAATATATATAATATTACAAAGAATTAATTAAGCCTACCCTTAATTAATTAATGTGTCAACTTCCATGCAGTAATTACTAAAGTAAATTTAGAAAATTAACTTTTATTGTCAATGGTTTTAAGGTCCAGGGCAAAAGAATGTATGTCACAGATGTATGACTTTTTTGCCATTTATATATATCAAATGTTCAGACCAAATCTGACCAGACCAGTTAGTCGTTTCTGTCTCGAAAAGTTGGCAAGAGGACATTATGAAAAGGTTTTTGATAAATTCATCATCAAAAATATACGCAGAATTATATAAAATTGTATAATTTTGAATGATTATCTTATAATAAAATTCTATTTTAGTTTTTTTACAAAAAATACGAATATTTTACATTAAAGTATTGAAAAAAATTGTAGTGTGAAATGATTTTGATTAGAAATATGAAAACGTAAAAAAGAAAAAACAGATTGTATTCCTGTATGGATTTAGAATAATAATGAATACGGATGCAACAATATTTTCTCAGTGATCTAAATCTCAATAAAAAAATAGCTATACTATGGAATACCTTTTGAACATAAGATTTTTTTTAAATCGGATTGTGAATCTGGAATTTTTCTCATAACAAAATCCGATATTTGCTCAATATGGAATAATCCAATGTAATAATAATATCTCTGGACAATTCACACAGCGTCAACTAGTTCCAACTTAAGCAGAGCTTGTGTTATGGGTACTAGACAACGTATATATAAATACATACATTTTTTGTAAATATATACATAATATACCGAAAACACCCAGACCGATACAAACAATCATACTCATGAATACAAATGTTTGTACCGTGAACTACCGTGCAACGAATCGAACCTGCGACCATCGGAAGTAAAGCCTTGTGCTAAACCGCTAAACCATTGAGTCATACATATATACATACATAGATATTGAGGAATATAAATAGCAAAGAAAAACGTTATTTAATAAAACATTTTGCAGTGTTGGTAAAATCGGAAGTATCATGGTTATGTACGCACATGTAACAAACAATACGTTTCCTTAAAATTTAATAAGAGATTGAATAACAGTTCGTAAGTAAATCATGCATCGCATTGTATGTAATTAACTACAAATATAGGTAAACAAATGGCTCCAAGCGTGACCACTACGCGTGTTCACTTGCAATTAATATATTTCTAAAATCTAATTAATATAGTAATTATATTAGTTCTGAATGAATGGAATTTTAACTATTGAAATATCGTAAACCATACCTGATGTACCTCAAGCTCAATATATATAATTTTACGTTATTCAAACTTTGTACAAAGTGGTCTGTGGAGTACAGGCCATTTATGTAGTCTATGGTCTACTTTATTTCATATTTCAGACACTATATTCTATTCTTCATTATCACTTATTGTCCTTTTCGGTTTCCGTTCCTGGCCCTAGTTAGTAGTGTTTCTTTGTATATAGTTTATATAATATATATATTACGATAACTCTCTGGATTTCTTTATCGCCCACATGTTCTACTTGTGTTCCTTTGTCTTACTTAATTCGGCCAACAAGCAGCTTGCTTTATAAGCTGTGTTTTAGTTGAAGGTTGAGATATGGCAGTAAAATTCCTGGATGCGGAGTCGTAACATCTTGGTCCTCCTAATGTTGTTTCTATATACATGAAAATGCCTGGTTCATGTATACATGAATCTTAACACTGCCTTACTGGTAACTTAATTGCTATTAATGTCAGGTTGACTTTCACACGGTTCCCTCTGGAAACTCGTAATAAATTACTGTTAATTTAGCCACATATTCATATTATTATCATTCACTCTTGCCGCACCAGCGTAAACAGTTAGCGCAGGCGGATGCACCATTCCATTATAATTGTTTAAAAAAAACACGAAGTTACTTCAGATGGTCGTGGTTTCTATATATATATATTTACCATAAAACATTTAAGTATTTTAGAACTTTATATTATATATATCTATGTATATACATTATTTAATGTTTTAATATATTTAACAGTTACATTATTACATTATGACGTTCATCAAGAAAATCGTCGCCTTTAAACGTTGGCATTCTCTGTCCTGTAAATCGACTGAAATATCCTTCCTTAAAATTGGATCTCCTTATGCAAAACAAGTTACTGTTAACAGAAATTTGTAATAACGTATATATATATATCTGTATATGTTTGCACAAAAACATAATTACTTTTGTGTCAGGTAAAACAATGTTTTTATCAATGGTGAACTACATATATTTATTTAAATAGAGATGGGCTTCCTTAAAATATCTCATGAATCTTTTTCATTCCAGGCTCACTCTCCGTAGCTACCTCTGCACCAGCTGCATCCCGTGATAATTCCCCGCAAGCATCAGAATATGAATACGATTACGAAAACTCAGCACAAGCAGGCCAGGCTCAAGATCCTCAGGAATCTGCAAGCCATTATGATGCTTATATCCAGGACGTCAAGGCCGCCGCTACCGGAGATGGTGCTAAGAAAGGATTCAGTAGAGGCAGCGGGTTAAGAACTATTGCAGTAGGAAGTGCGAATCAAGCGAAGACAGCGCTTGGGAATCAAGCGGCGGCTGCGTATCAAGCAGCTTATATGGCAAAGAATACTTTGGCGCAGTCAGCGGCTCAAGCTAGTGCAACAGCGCAAGCAGCGCTTGCTGGTAAACAAGTGATCCTATCTGGATTAGAGCAGCAAGTGAGAGACGCTAAGGTCGCTCTCCAGGGAGAAGAAATGCAGCTCCAACAGGCTAAGAGATCTGCTCAATCTGCAGCACAAGCCGCCCAACAAGCTATGCACCAGGTATGTACGAGTATATAAACATTCTTCTTACTAATATAATAAATGCAAAAATTTGCGTGTATGTATAGATGTTTGTTACCTTTTTGATCAAAAACTACTGAACGGATTTTGATGAAACTTTACAGTAATATACATTATACATCAGAATAATACAAATTTCATGCGGATGAAACCGCGGGCACAGCTGGTGTAATATAATCGTATGTATAATGTGTCTTTATGAATAAAGCGTTAAATGTTTTGCGAAAAAATGGTTGACAGGTTTGTGTACGTTTATGTCAGAAAAGGCTTAAAACACTTGCATGTAATTAGCATTTATCTATTTTAAAATCAGTCTAACATATTATGGTTATGTTTATTACTACCTTATCTCTATCTAGCAGAACAGCTCTCTGGTAGAGAATGCTATCACGCATTAAGTTTGCTATATATACAACTATTTATGTTAAAGAATAAATAAATTAACGTACAAATTAGTATAAAGGTTACCATATTAATGTCCAGGTTAGGTTAGCTTTTATGTATTTATTGTACCTCCTTACCTTATAATTTCACTGCCTTATGTCAGAATTCAGCCGCCACAAATCTTACAAAACATGATTCTTGTTATATTGCAAGTATATTGAAATAAATTGTTTAACATTCACTTAAAAAAATTATCAATTATAGAAAACCAGAAACCAGTTGACCTTAATTGTACGGAACCTTTTGTTTTCGAGTCCATCTCGCACTTGGCGTTTTTTAATTTGAACGAGTCGCTGAACTACGTCAAACTTTCTACAGATCATTACAATAATTCTATTTAATATTAACGAACGTTTAATAAGTTCGGGGTCGTATTTTGTGTTTTGAAATATTGCTTTTTTTCATAAAGTAACGCCGGTATTTCTCAAGTAATTGTCGCAAGATTGCGCCCCAATCTGAGTACTTAGCCAATTACTAAACGGCATGGTGCGGTGGTTGCGAATCGATTACGAGATATTGCAATTATAGGCGTGCCGTTACATATAAAATTTGTTTGTTTACCGAGAAAATTATATTTTGCCGTTTAATTTCTCTGTATTCCATGAAATTGGATATTTGTTAAGCGTTCCGTTTAAATTAATTGTTCTGTACGATTGGTTATCTATTGCACTTTTTTTGTTAACTGACTTTGAAAAGAACTAAGTTCTAAATTTAAATATATAATAATAATTCAGGACAATTTACACAGTGCTATCTAGTCACAAACTAAGCAGAGCATGTGCTATGGGTACTAGATGTTATAAATACTTAGATACATGTTTTTTCGTAAATATATACATAGAAAATACCCAAGAATTTGTACTCATGGATACAAATGTTTGCACAGTGCGAGAAATCAACTGCGAGAAATATCTCATCCTTCAATTTGGTTCTTTTCTATCTTTATTTATTTAGGAGTTTAGGATCACAATAATGAGCATGTTAACTACAAACGAAATATAGTTAAAACGTCAGCTCATTGGAGGCTAAAAAAATATAAAGATACCCATATAAAGATACAGACACATAAATACTCATATATACACATACATAAAGATACTCAGATTAATTTGTCCAGTCTACCTCGGAAATGATTACAAACGTGAATATATTTATATTTTTTATTCATTTTTATATTGGGAGTTATCTAACGCTAGTGGTAGGCAATCCAATTATACCATTTTTTCTTCAGTCCAGTTAAATTACGTTTAGAATGGCATTATATATTTCAATTCGAAAGTTCTTCGTCTTTTTTACTTTCCCAGTATCTACGTTCTAATATAAAAAACGGCTGCTTTTTGCTTTTTTACTTTATTTAATAGGGGTGATAAATTGTTGTACACATAAATTTTAATATCTATATAATTAATTGTGTTACCTTAGCTAAGTCGGGATGTACCGCCAGTTTTATTATTTATATATAGACTCCAAAGTTGCACTAAATATCTAAAGCAAAAATTATACTGACAAGACTTTGATGTAGAAAAGAAGTCGTTAGTTTTATGACAAAATTTTGTTAAGATCTTCGAGGCGCTTTTTTATAGAACCCATATATGATGTTAAAATCAATAAATAATAATAAATAAAGAAATAAATGCATGTGAAACTATACATAATAAATAAATATTATATACAAATATCATATTAGAGGGAAAATGTAAATTGTCGTCTGCGTTGTTATCACTTGAGTTGAAAAAATAATATTTCTAAAATAAAAGTGGCTTAAATTAGTAACTTAAGCGAGTACCTTATATCCTTATCCACTTCAGTTATCAGAGAGTGAAAGTCCAGTTAAAATTGAACCAGCCGTATCAGAGATTAGTAAGTACAGACAGATAAAAATAGAAATTAATATATTGATATAAGTAATACATTTTCATATGTATGTAGTAAAAAAATTAATTTGTAATTGCATATAGACACTTTAATTATATCTATTTATATAATGTATCATTTTATTTTAAAATGAAACCACACCATGACACCGGAGTCGTACTTTTTGTTAAAGACAAATTCGTTCGAACGAAATGGAGCGACTAAATAAGTACGTAACTATATAATTATTGCATTTTTTCATCACCGTTTTGACGGTTTGCAAATTTTTCGCAAATTCCATTCGCACTGATTTATGCAACACCACCGGCGTTATCGGGTTTTTAGTCTCGGGTTTTTTATAAGGTTTTTTTTTCAGTCCCTGCAGCGTATATTGCGATATTAAATAAAAAGCTTTGAAATGCCACTTGTTACTAATATTGCACAGATTTGGTTCATTGTCGGAGCGTAGCCTTGCTCTTTTTGTATTGTCTTTTTTAAACACATAGTTAAATAGATCGCCAATTATCTACCCAATTACACAGATAATTATTTAATTTATAATCTATGTCAAAGAATCTATTTATTTATGGAATCCTTTTTTTAAACCTACAAATAATTAGTTATAGAAAATATAGAAATATCTTTGCGTGACAAGAATGTTAATCAGGCAAATTAATGTAGGTATCTAATGAATAAATTTTATCCTTTTTTTGGATTAAATATTGTTTAATTAGTTAATACTTAATTAATAATTTAATTTTATAATAATTTCAAGACAATTCACACAGTCATCTAGACCCTAGATAAGCTAACTAAAGCCTGTGTTATGGGTACTAGATAACTGATACAAATACATAGATTTTTTTTCGTAAATACATACATATTATACATAGAAAATACCCAGACCGATACAAACAATCATACTCGTGAATACAAATGTTTGCGCCGTGCGAAGAATCGAACCCGCGACCATCGGAAGTAAAACGGTGTGCTAAACTGTTAGACCACCGAGGTCGGCAATTATTTAATTAGTTATTTTAATCATTTAATATAACAAGTATTACTAATTATAAATAAAAAGTTCCAATATACAATTATAAAGGCGTATCCACTAATTCAAATTGAAATGTAGAATCTATTGTAATTCTAAAGATTGTGCTCAAATAATAATTTATTATACAAACAATGCAAAATGTAAATAATTATTTATTAAACAAATTAAGGGAGAAGTCATTTGGAAAATACAGTTGGAAGTAGATAACACTGCGGTGGAAATGCGAGTCTACACGCAATTTGATACATAACATGAGATGCAAATTTCCTTCCTGTACAGTGGTCAGGGAGAGAAAGTGTAACAGAGTACTAGTAATAACTGTAGGTAAAAATGACTTGGACTTTATTAAAAAAAAGTAAATATATACATTAACACTTTGCATATTTATATATGTTATTAGATTAGTAATGGTACCTATGCCAAGCCCCATTGAGTTTAATTGGGTAAATGAAACACATTTTTAATATTTTCATACAAACTTGTCTGTCAAATATGGGTAATCAATTTCGTATGATTATTTTAAAATTAGTTTCTTGGTGAAAATGTTTTAATTTCATGAGTAATTCTATATACCTGGATTGTTGATTGGTATACCTTTAACATTAAGTTTTATATATACTTATATATCTATAGTTAGTTATATATATGAATCTCTATTCCCATGGTCAAACTTTTTGCGTATGGACGAAACACACACACTATGTTACTCACACGTTTTATGTATCTGTGTTGTATATATGTATGTTTTGATAAGTGATCAATGTAGTTGTGTTCATTACTTTTTTCTTTATATTAATTATCGTACCTCGTTTGTATTCCCTTTAAAACAAATAAAAGTTTTATCTAAATAAATAAATATGGATAATATAATTCTGTGCCTAACATTGTAGGTCAACGTAATTCAAGCTGCACTGAACGCTGCACAAGCTACCTCCGAGAATGCCAACGAGGCAGCATCTCAAGCAGCTGGTGAGTTGGGTGCACAGACAGCCATGGTGGGTGCAGCTAGGCAGAGGTTGCAGACTCTCCAGGAACAGCTGCATGGTGTCAGAATCGACTTCGAAGCTACCCAATCTGCTGCCAGGAAGGCTCAGGTATGTGGCTCTTATTGTCATTCCATAGACGTCATTTAAGACTCAATTTTATAGTATTGAGTACATATGTGTTAAAACTTTTTTATACCTAATTTTTTTTTATGAATAAGCTGAAAGTCCACCTGATGGTAAGTGGTAATCATAATCGGTATACTTGAACAGCATCACGGCCATTATGTTGTCACGTGATTTACGATATCCGCCATATCCATTATCATTGCGGAGGACTAAGATGTCATCCCTCAATTTTCTATATTTTCCCTCTAAATACACATATTTTAAAAGTAAATTGTAATCTCTACTACTTTTGATTGAAATAAAATAAAAATATCTACTCCTTTGGTCTCCCGAATCATTATTGTAAAATAGGTATAGTACCTATTATGTAAATGTTCGATAATATACACTTTATATGATCGAACATTTACATATAGGCTTCGATCGGATGCATAACAAATCATTAATAAATATTAATTACCTAGAACAATTCACACAGTGCCATCCAGCCTCAAGCTAAGCATAGCTTGTATTATGGATACTAGACAACTGATACTTAAATAGACTATTTGCATGTACATATTTACAATAGAAATCGATTATGAATCGAATCCGCGATCATGCAAGAAGGTGTGTTTAATCGCTAGACCACCGAGGCCGTTATATGTTATAGAGATATAGAGTCGAATCACAAAACATTTTTACGAACAGGAATCTAAGAAGAGGGCACGAAAGTACATCTTTGAAGATTTAAACATCTTGATAAAATATTGACCAAATGCAACTTAAATTTTCCATAAAGAAAAGTTGAATGCAAACAAAAGAAGACCAAAGATTTCTGGCTCCACTTTGCATTGCTTTATTCTAGATTCACTACTTTTTGCTTTCTTCGCTTCATTGATCGCAAGTTGCAACTGTCTGTAACCTAGTCTAGATCTCAGAAGTGTTTTGTTGTAACTAGACTCGAGTTATTTAATTTTTTTTTGTATGAAACAGTGCAACCACTTTTTTGGCACATTAGCATTTTAATATACAAGACAACTCAATTTAGGCTTCGTTCTCATATATACAGCACTACTTTTAAAACGTAATGTGTGTTTATATTCTCAGTGATTGTAACTGTAATAAACACTTCAACTTAAACTGTTCTTTTATTATTTCTTCCATACCAGATCTTTGGTGGTCAAATTATGTTATCGGTTCCGTAGACTGACCTCCGATCACTCTGGTTTACCACTGTCCTATTTCAATGACGATCGTAATTACGTCTGTTTTCATCAGCCTCATAAGTCCTTTTGCGTGTTTGTAGTGTACTGTACACACCTTTATTTTCCTCTGGCATTTGTCGGATAAATGCAAAATGCGACAGAATTATAATAGTTAAAAAAAAATTACTCCTATAGATAATAGTAGTTAAACTACCATATAGCATCACGAGATAGCACCAAAATCAACTTTCGTTGCGTTATTCTTTAATATTACTTTTAATAAAAAAAAAATCTTTGACATCAACAGGCGGCCGCACAACAGGCACAAGCTAACGCTGCCGCAGCTGCCGCAAAGGCAGCGGCTGCTGGTCTTGGCTCTGGACAGCATCATGACGCCTCCCACGAAGGTACGGCTTACGAAGAGTACAAGGTTGCACCTTCCTCAGAACAGAACAGCCAAGAATATTACTCGCGCCAGTCGGATTTCCAACACTAGTAACAATAAGGTTTTAGGTGCTTACCGCCCTCTGGGGTTTTATAATCTTTTTTAGTTCATTATCATTACCTTCTCCTTAGATTCATCATCCCCAGGCTCATCTCCTTAGATTCATATTAAAGCATTTAGGTACATGACGACATGACGTAAAATGTTTATGATTTCATTAAATACAGTTTACTATTATATTTATTGCGTATAGGTATTTAATAATTTATTAGATAATATTATTTTGTTCCTTGTATCCTATTTGGTAAACGCGTTCCCAATACTTGAAATGAACAAAGAAAGTTAATGAAGCCCCGGATGTTTAATTGGGATGTTATTAAAATAGATTTTTATACCAACTACCTCAAAGCTCTAAATTCATATTACGAAATTTTAAGAGTATTCCTTGGTTTCAAAGAATTAATATAAAAGAAGTAGTGACAAATCGGAATGGCACAGATAAGATAATGTAACATAGAATACTACTTGTCTTTATCTATGTTTTTAAACTTGCGTTGAAACATGAATAAGTAAGTAGTAACAAAAGTGAAATCGTATTTATTTATTTTATAATATAAAATCTATTTTAATAATAATCCAATTCACTCAGTAGATTGTCTACTGAAATGTAAATAAATTGTTTGTTTATAAACTAGATTAGTTGGGACCTCAACATAAATAAATTGTGTGTCTTTGTGATATTTTCTGTAGATCTTTTTTATACTTTTTATACAAATGTGAAGCTAATTTATTTGAGGTGAAAATGTTCACTTTCAATTTTGTATTTTATTACAACTACAACATGGTTATATTTGCGAAAGTGGAAGTGGCAGAAAGTACAATATTGATACCAATTTAGTAAAATCACTAACCAGAGAGAATTAAGTGCGATGTCACGAAATATGTTTCGTCAGAAATACGATCGACGTGTATGAATTTGTATAAAAATAAAAAATGTTTTTGTTAATTATTGTTATTTCAATAATGATTTGACTTTTTGACTACTTTTGACTGTGTTTAATGACTATAACTGCGTCAGATGTACGAAAGATTGCTATAAAGATACATATATACATTATTTTTTAATAATGGCAATTTGTTTTCCAGCGGACTTGACAGTGACTTGACATCTCACTTAATTGTATCACTTGCCTACTTTATGACTTGTGTTTGACTTAACCTTACCCTTATGCACTTATACTTCTCAAAAATAGTATCTTCACGTAGAGACACTACTTTCCTGTGTACTTTTGATGTAATTATTAATAGTGATTATTAAGATAACTCGTGTGGCATAGTAGTGGTTCATGCTACGCGTAAGCGATATCTCAGGTTTAATAACCGATCGGGATAATTTAAACTTAATATTCGTATGTTTTATTTATAAGCACTTTTCTTTTTATTCACACTAAAATTGTGCTAGCTAGGATTCCTGTCTAATAACATGTTTACACAAAGATATAGGCAGATATTACTTTGGTTACTATCCTACCATGTCAATATCTTTAAATATAAAATATTTATTATATTAACTATTAGGCACAGAATGATTATAAATTACTGAAATCGTAATGTCCTATCTCATTTACTGGAAAAAGTCATTCTAAAAAAATAATTGTGTAAGAGTTAACAATTTTCTTATAAATACTATTTCCAGTAATTTCAATATAATATACCAATATCTAAGTACCTATACAATATCCTGGCGTTGACATGGGATGTATTATGATATAATGGGAAATATATTGTGAAAATTAAAGCCTGGACCTAACATAATATCGTAGATATTATCACACGAGCATGCCGCACTTTCACTTTGCGCATTGGTGTATTTTCTATTATATATTATCTACCCACCTATTCAATAAAATAGGGAATGAATTTTCAAATGGCTTATTGTATCATCCTATACTTTTCCTTTCTAATCAATTTTCCTTATGATCGCACAGCATGGACCACTTGTTATCTCCTCAATACCATTTCTTACGTCGAACCCTTTGACGTCAATGCGAATCGAGAAGATTCGATAAGAGATTTCCATTTTTCAGAGTGGTCCGGTTCCATCCAGCTACTTCCAGAACAATCCAGCGTTAAACAAATCCTAATCGATCCCAATCATGAAGAGACCAAAACACACGAACACACTAAACCAACCCAACCCAACGATGCACTGAAACCACTCGTATTAGAACTCGATTCAGTTTCGAAGCCAATTCAGTATGCGCCGGTTGAAACTGGTACAGTCCAGATTAAACCAATCCCATCCATACCTGTACAAGACAGACCACAAAAAATAGTTGCACCATTCAAATATGTAAACGCTAACTCCTTTTTTAAATTTGTACCCGAAACACACATACATTTAAACAGTTTTAATAAGAAACCAAAGAGCCAGACTGTGTGGCATCCCGGATTTTTCAACTGGTGACAGGGTACGAATTATAAAGGTAGGTAATAAAGATACACAAACTAATTTTATTTAAATGAGCCAATGTTTGTAAGAATGTGGACTACTCGGATTATTAGACTAGAGCTTAGGTTAAATAGAAAATCTCTTTTTAGAGATAAGCTCGCCCTTGTACTTTACCTTATTTCTATTAATTTTTCCTATGTGTGTACAATAAAGAATAAAAAATAAATAAATAGGTAAAATTAAAGCCAATAAGAAAATTTATTATTTTATTATCTTATTTCTCTAAAACTTATTTATATAAAAATGTAATGTTACTAACATTACTTTCCACATAAAAATACGTAATGTAGTAAACATAACGACAAACATTGATTTTATTTATTTATTGTTTATTGTATTATTTAAAATAAACGTACAAATGGCGAGCTTAATGCCATATGGCATTCTCTACTAGCTAACCAAATATATGACAGGAGTGATGAGAAGATTATAAAGATGAAGCATAAAAGAAAGATGTGACGCTATTACAATTGCAACTGCATTGTAGAGCGAAGCGCGATTCGATCTTAGAGATCTGATTCGCACTCTTTGGAACGGATACTGCTCCGAAACTTGACCGTTCGAGAGATCAAAATTTTATCGAAGGTCGACCATTGGGTCTCTATCATTTACCTCTCAAAAAATCTGATCGAAATTACTACGGCCGGAAACGAGGTTGGAACCTCTAGCTATGCCCTCATATTAAAGTCATATCCGTCAGGCATGAATTGGCCTTTAGCTGCGCCATAACTCATTCTGCAGGTTTGGAGAGCCATCTGTTCTCGTTCGGTGAAACTGTAAAGGCCAGTTGCGTTCAATGGCATTAGAGTAGATAGAAAAATAAAATACTTTTTTGACTGCTGTCTATCGCTAAGCAGCAGATAAACTACGACTCTGTAGTGCGATGGTATCAGCTCACTATAGCGTTATAAATGGTGTGATGAGGTGTCTCTACATAATTTATTTGTTTATTGTAGTATCTAGGTCGTGAGTGAAATAATTATAATATTTATTAGTAAGTTTATTTGGTAGTGGGTTATTAGTAACGCGTACATTCGACGCGGAGTTGTAATGCGGTTAGTCCGCACATACTTACACTTGACACTTAACTTAGATCTATGTTATCTGAAGAGGTGCTAATGGATGAATGGGTCTCGATTGTAGATAGAAATATTACAAGTGTAGGCACAACTTTATTCTCAGAAAAAGCAATGTATTTGTATGATGGTATATTCATACGACTAAATGTCATGGTTAGGGTATCCCAGTATGTAAGCACAATAACATAAACGTGCCAGACCACAAATAAGGTTTATATTTGTAGTGCTCTTAATTAAAATATAAATGGTTGTGTTCTAAATATTTACTATAAATCAATTATTTTTCCGTTCAAAAATAGATTTATCGCATTAATCTTTCTCGTTTTCTTGATATAATTGAACCATTAATATTGATTGAGAACTATATTAAAGTAAGACATTACCGATGTCTTGGTCATTTGTTAGAATTTTTAGATGAGGTACGGTGTGATAAGATTAATAATGGCGTTAATTTATAATATTAAAAGTATTAGTGTAAACCTGCACCAATTCCAACACACCGCAACCTTCTGCAATTACGAGCAGTAATATCCTTTTCTTATATTAAGCCCTATTGTTAGCCCATTAGAGTGTTAGGTAGAACTAGGTTATAAATTTGCACATAATTTAGAAGGGATTTTTATAAACATCGGCGGCTCGTGCGACAGTAAGGCAGGACGTCATTAACATAATTGTAGTTTTACCTATTCTGTACAGAGCAGACAAAACTATAATTACGTAAGTAGTAATCAATTATGTGAGTAATCTTACTCATTTATAATATTTTTCATAATGTCTTACAGAACCGGCAAAGGAAGAGCCCGCAGAAGAAGCTGAAGAGGAAGAAGATTGCGAAGAGGAAAAATAATAACACTTACTATTAGAATTAGATAGTTAAATGCCATTATTTCTCTTCTACTATTTCCGTTAGTTTTATTAAATTAAAATTAAGAATAATTATATTTAATTTATTTAGTATTTTTTTTTAATTCATATCAATTTTATTTCCACATTATACCTTACTGTGATATTTACGAATGTCGTAAATACTGTATTTATACTATATAACACTATATTTATGAACACATAAATCGATAGAATGCGTTTTGAATATTATATAGATTTTGAATTTTTAAACTAGAATTTAGTCACCATAATTGCCCCACTATAATTGCCAGAACCAATCAAGTTCATGGAGTCAAGTGCACTTATTGTGTAGTGCTGTCAGCTTATGCACTTAATGAAGAACATTAAAATCTCTCATATAACCTATCTATAAAAACATTAGTCTCAGTTCAATAGTATTAGTTTTTTCGGTAATAACCAATATTATCAGTCACAGATATTTTAAAATTGCCGCCGTATTATTAAAATACCATTTACTTTTCAAACTATATTAGAACATTTATTTAGTAATATTCATCTTTTAATATTTCAATCAATTTAACAATTATACAAATTATATATTAAAGTTGTAAGAAAGTATTAATCGACTAAATAGGGATATATATTATTGGAAAATTCAACTTATTGAAGTACAAAGGTAAATACTTAGCGTAAAACGGAATACGTATTTCATTCGAGCCTTCAAAATTCTGCTTTGACTTTGACAGTTTGATTGACGTTTGTATGTACTCTTCGATTTGACATCTTTTACGTATTTCCCATGTGTTTTCATATTTCTGTAAACAAATTCTAAAAATGTCTGTGGTGAAGAAAAAGAAGCATGTATCGAAAAAGAATAAGAAAGCATGGCGTAAATACTGTGATATCAAAGATGTAGAGGATTTCCTAGAAGACCAACGCTTAGAAGAAAGACTTGGGTAAGGTTATATTCATATCATATTTAGGATGCATATAACGCTTATTTAACAATAATATTGCACTGGTTTTTATTAATTTAAGTAACATTGATACTTTAACATCTATTTGGGTACATTTTTATTATTTTTCAATTTACTAGATAGCATTACCGATTGTAACCTCTGTGACCAATCCACTCCACTGCAGATGGGTCTTACTGAATGACATTCACTATATTTTAAAAAATATATAAAGTTAAAATCATTGTCTCACATATTACAGCTGCTCTACAGCTTGCTTTATAAGCTGTATTGCGGTAGTAAGGTAAGGTTAGCCAGATAAATTACAGGATAAGCAACACATGAATGGTATCAGAGGTGTTATATGACTTCTTAAGTTAGGTTAAGTTTACTTTATTTATATTTCTGTTGGTTTTTATGTAACCTGTCCTAAGAGGCTTAAAGGCAGCTACCCGAGGGTTGATGCAAAAGAGTTCATCCCAAGACCTCTACCTACACCATTCTAGGGTGATGCATAGGATCTGTGTGTGTGTGTGATCATGTGATGTCCATAGTGGACATGTGGTGACCACACCAGGTGGGCCATCAGCTTCTTTGCCATTACAGAAAAGAACCCTTCATTAAAATCTAATTAATTTGCAAGGCTGTGAAATACAGCATATAGAGGCATAACATGTAAGTTCTCTGGAATAGCAATGCATGCATACATTATCACAAGCTGAAGTGCTATTCATTTATGTAGAAAAGAATATATTGGGTTAGGTGGGACCATCAGGTTGAAGAAATAAAACATATAGTGTTTATCACTTTGGCTAAATTTATCAGATTTGCTTATGTTAAATGCATGTAGAAATAGAAACATTATATATTCAAATAAACTTCAATGTAAGCAGTTCTGAATAGCACCTAAGAAGAGTGAGCAAGAAACTTGGATGTTGCTCTTTAATTAATTGTTAATTTACACATATTTAAATTAAAATACATATGTGTTTATGAAACTTTATATTAATATGCATTATATTTTAGCAAGTTTGATGAAAAACCAGACAATGAGTTGTTTGTAGTAGACACACAAGGGGATAAGAAAAGTGTAGAAGATGAGGATGTGAAACCAATTTTCTTATCTGCCAAGCAGAGGAAACGGCAGAAACTTGCAGAAATACCCAAATGCTATGAAGTATTATTGCCATCTTCTAAGGTAATAAAATATGATGAACTTGTAGTAGATATAAGTATTTAGTACTCAATACCCTCTGTTTACCTTGCTTACAAAGGTTGAAAGAAATTAACCACTCATTTGTGAACGACAAATTATTGGACTCTGATACTATAGTCCCATTTGTAGAGGTCCTGTAATTGGTCTCACATATGGGGTTTTAATAGCATTTTGACAGCTAACATTTGAAAGGTTAACAAAAAAATGAATGAATCACATGTTGATTTGTTTGTTAATTGGATACTAAGGAAACTGAAAATTTTTAATTGATGAACTCTATTATAATATTTTAATTTTTGGTCCTAATGAATAAGAAATGTTTTTTATTTGAGAATAAAAATATATATAGTGTTATTTGCCTAAGTAATATAATTATAACGATCCATAACCTATCACTTAAAGGGTTATTATTGTCATAAAATTGAGTTCATGCTTTATTATTAACAAGCTATGCATCTTAGCTTCACATGGGTGTACATGTATTACACATATAAATCTTCCTCTCAACTCACTCTATCTATTACTAAAAACTGCATTAAAATTTGTTGCCAAGTTTAAAAGATCTAGACTACAGACTGGAAGCAACTTCATTTTGTACTATATAAGGAAGTATGTTTTTCTTTAGTTAAATTTTTTTTGTCTGTGTTATATCTATAAGCTCTGAATATATAAATATTTATTCAGAGCTTATATAAATATTTGTTCTTATTTTGATAGCTATTTTAATCCTCTTATATAAAATATTTATTCAGGCTAATATAAATATTTGTTCTTATATTGATAGTTATTTTAATCTTATATAAATTTCAATTATTTCAGGTTGAAGATCCAAATAAAAAACGTAATCATGTAAATCCAGTGGGCTTCAAGCCTACAGCATTAAGTAAAATAACGGAAAAGCGTCGCTTGACTAAAGGCACTTATCAGAAGAAAGTTCAAGAAGCAAAAAGGAACAGAAAGTTGGAACTGCAAAAGAAGAAGAAAATGAAGAAAGCAAGAGAGACTTTTAAGTTAAATCTTTGGGATGGTGATAGTAAGTTAAGACTTTATTTTGAAATAATAATAATTATAACCCTGAACAATTCACACAGCACCATCTAGTCCAAATCCAAGTAGAGTTTACTTATGAGTACTAGACTTCTGATAGAATACTTAAACATCTATTTTTGTATTTATATATTAAATATAAATTTTTTTTACAAGGTCCAGTCTAGTAGTGGCACGGTCAGCAGGCCCCCTAAAATATTTAATATATTTTATTTAAAATATTTTAAGTTCAGCACATTCATGGCTGACTCAGTTGTTATGCTCATGGATGGATGCTGCTTGCAAGGACTGGTCTCCTCTGATCACTATGACTGATTTATTTTGTTACTCAATGAACTGTCAATTTTGTTCAACAAAGTTAATTTAGAGAGAAATTGCTGACTTGACAAATAAACAATGAACATTTGTTACTTTTCAGTACCGGAAATTAAGGGAATCCCAGAAACACTGTGCGAAGAATTTATATCCCCTGAAGCGCAGTTACATAATGTATTGCCAGTTCAGAGAATCAGACCAAAACCACCTCCGCCTAAGACAGTTGTCACTAGAGCAGCAATGGAGACCCCACACCCTGGCATCAGTTATAATCCATCATACAAAGTAAGTAATTTAAGCAACTATATATACATACACAACAGTTGTTTTGTCTGCCTAATTAACGGTACTCAGAACCTTCACTGTTCTCATTCGCCGTTCACAGCTTAATGGCGCCATGACGCTAGCAGTGTAGCTAGAGACGACACAATGGTTCCTTCTCTTTCTCACATACACTACAAGTGATATTTTTTTTACCTAATGGATTATAGAATGGTGCACCCACCTGCGCTAATGGTTATCGCTGGCAGGCAACCAATGTATAATGGTAGGATAAGCAACGAGGTCATGTCAGTTAGCTCATTGTCACTTTACCAGGATTTACTTGCAATGGTCTCAAGGGGGAACCGCATGGAGGTCAACATGACATTGTACATTGCCAACAATAGAGTCATCAGTCTACATTACTAACAATACTCTGTCCCTTCCTACTTATATTCATATTGTCCATTATGGAAATCATACTGAACACAAATATTGATATTCCAATTTCAATTGGTATATTTGAATCTAAGTCTACTGCCGTATCACAGATTAATTTTTAGTTTGATATCTTTATTTAATATTGAATGTTGTTACAGGAACATCAGGAGTTGCTTCAGGAGGTGGTGAATCATGAGGAAAAGATGATGAAACGAGAAGCTCACTTGCTCAGGGTCACCAACAAAATGTTCAGTAAGGTCACTGCTAAAGAGAAAGAGGTTGGTACTTAATATTGTAGCATGGTGGTATCATCTCATCATTGTAGCGTTATATTACACTAGGTGGTGAGTACACTGGTGAAATATTTGTTCTATTTATTGTACATTATGTTATACCTATACTATTTCTGTTACTGTCACTGTTTTTTTGTATTAATATTAATATTAATGATAATGTTTAAGGGGGCTGCCTTAAACATTATCATTAATAGTAATAATAATAATAAAAAACAGTGAACAACAGTGCAACAATTTAGATGCGGCGGTCTTATTACATGCGTCCTCGCATATGTCCCCGGGCAGTGCTGAAAATCAGTGCTTTGCAGCTAGTATCCTGCAAACAATACACTGTTGTGCTGCCTTTTATCTGATGAGCTATGCACATACACTACGTTACTCATACCGATTTTTTATAACTGTAGATACCAATGTAATTAATTCTGTATCTACTTTTTTTATTTTTGTTGTCAACACTATAGTGCTATGTGTGTGTGTCTTTAACGTAAATAAATTTTTTATCGATCTACCTACATTAGTAAGTTTATTGGATAGTATGCTACATGGCTTATTAGTAACGCGTATATTTGACGCGGAGTCGTAACGTGAACTAAATTTACACTGAACTTAAATCAATGTCAACGGATGCGTAAACTAATATGAAAAAGTTTCATTACATTATCGTATTTCATTACATTATCTGGGACTGAACTGCACCTTAAAATTATTTTTGACATGTATTTATTTCTTATCACTTTTAGAATCAATGGCGCGAAGAAATGAGTGAAGGTTTACCCCAACCACATAACCCTGCAAACAACCCGGAAGAGTCTGATACTGACAACGAATATAAAGCAGTGAATCCACCCGTTCAGAACAAGAAAAAGGATCACAAGGCTAGAAGGAAACAGAAGGAGCAAATAGTGGAACGGGAAAGGTTAAAGAGGGAGAAAATTGAAAAGAAGAAAGTCACTGATTTGTATAGGTGAGTAGGTAGTGCCTATCTATAATGTATGGATATATTGTGTTGATAGATGTCGTTGAACAATCTAGTGAAGGTAGTTGAACAATTTATTGCCATTAATAACATAGTAATTATGGTAATACTCGTAATAAAATATTACCATTTACCCTTAGATCAAACCATTTGTTTGTTATACCCATGACATTAAATAATATATAGGATGCTAGCTGTCCCGGCAAACATTGTTTTGCCATATAAATTGAAGTACTAATATTGCTATAAAAAAATAAGGGTTGGTGGTAGGGTGTGAAAATTTAGGGTTATATGTATTTTTAATACCACAATTATCACTTAGGGGTAAGAAAAATAGATAGTAGCCGATTCTCAGACCTACTGAATATACATATAAAATTTCATAAAAATCGGTCAAGCCATTTCGGAGGAGTATGGTAACTAACATTGTGACACGAGAACTTTATATATAAGACTAGCTGTCCCGGCAAACGTTGTTTTGCCTTAAAATAAAAAAAAAATTAGGGGTGGACTACCCCTAAATCGGTCAAGCCGTGTCGGAGGAGTATGGGAACGAAAACTGTGACACGAGAATTTTATATATAAGATAATGGTATCAAATTGAATATTTCAGACTACGGAAATTACAATCTTCAATAGTGAAAACAGAAAAACTCCAAAAAGAGGAACGTTCAAAGCGCTCAAGTAAACGTATTGCGGCTGCCGCCACTGCGGTGCCCGCTCTCAATGCACACAAAGTCAGCAAGAAGGAGCCGGACTTTGTTGATCCTGAACTACTTACAGGGGACCTGAGGCAACTCAATGCTAAAGGTAAGAAGAGAGATATGTAAAGTGGAAATGATCTTACTAATATTATGAATATGGGGGAAAGGGGATTGTTAGTAATAGGAACTAGTAACCCCCATTGCTGGCAATGTACCATATTAGGTTGACCTCCACAAGGTTCCTCCTGGAAACCATAGTGATAAATTCCTAGTGGATTTGTCATGATGGGCCAACTGACCTGATCTCATGCTCATCTTATCATCTTCCACTGGTGCCCCGCCAGCGTAAACCATTAGTGCGGCTGGGGCCACCATTCCATAATCATCCCCAAAAAAAATATTATGAATACGAATTTTGAAAATTTTGCGAAACTACTGAACGGATTGATGATATTTTACACTAAAGTATCTTCAGAATATCACATAGGTTATAATTTTCATGCATGGGTACGTCGGTCACAGCTAGTTTTTTTTTATATATAATTGTAATGACGAATGATATGAAATGTAAGTTATAACATTTGCCCATATACAAGAACTTCATGACTTATATTAAGGCACCTAAGACTAAGGTGTCAGAGAGCAGTCTCTCATGACACATGACATGATATTCTTAGCATTCCATGGATTTATCATGCGAAAGCCCGGTCCATCTTGTGGCAGAACGTATAACTTTGAGGAGTTCCTTTGACTCATGAATTAACTACCGATGTTAGCGGTTTCGATTCCTCTCATGATTCAAACATATACATGTTTATGATTGTTTGTATTGGTCTTATCTCTAAGTGTTTTCAATTATATGTATATTATGTAGGTATTTACAAAAAAGGTTGTCTTATACTCGTAACACAAGCTCTTCTTAGATTCAGACCTTGTGGCACTATGTGAGAAGTTCTCGGTTATTATTATTATTCCAGTCAGATTAAAAAAATATATTTTTCAGCAAACCTCTTACGTGAACGTTACGAGACGCTCCAACGACGCGGTGCCCTCGCTGGAGCCAAACTTATGATGAAGAAGAAGAGGAAAGTGAAAAGGTACTTCAAACCAGGACACAAGGTCACCGACCAAGAGATCGAGAGGTACATAAATAAATCCAAAATTCTGAGTAAATCAGACAAAAAGTGACCTTATAGACTTTGTTTATAAGATATAAAGTTGTAAAGTAGAACTTTTTACAATAAATTATATTGGTACAGATTTTGAATTTTATTTTGAATTTAAATATCTTTTAGGTATAGGAATATTATGATATAGGAATTTTTATGAAGGAATGTAATTTTGAAGAAAAACTGAAGGCATAGAACATTTTTGGATTGATTCAAGAAGTTCGTATCAACCATATAACATTTGATGATCTTATTATTAAATTATATAATATTACTAGCTGACTCGCAAAAGTGGTTTTGCCATATAAAATAAAATCGCTATTAAAAAATAGGGGTTGATGGTAGAAGGGTGAAAATTTAGGGTTGTATGTATTTTTTAATGCTATCTTAAATAGTTGATTATCGATCTTTTTTAGTGCTGGGGATGTTTATAAATAATAAAAAAAAGTTTTGTAAAATATTTATTCTATCAATCTTCTACTAGATATACTATCTAAAAAGTAGGATTACTTACAAAATATATTACAATATCGTGGCAGTGTAACAGTATATTAAACTACAATTAATGTAGGTAACTCAGCAGTTTTAGGCGACCTTAATGATAGGAAATGATATAACATATTCTACACTCTTCACTATATTCAACTAAGCAATAAGTCTCTAACATATATCAATAACAAAACATAATAAGTTAACCATATTATACAGTAAAGCAGATGTTACATGCAATCAAATAGGCTTGTTTATTCACCATTTTTTAATAATAATCTTAGAAAATATTAGCATTTTGTGTTCTGAGTACTAGGCAATTAATATAAGTGCTTAAATACATTTTTTTCTAAATACATACATAATATATAGAATAAATACCTAAAACAATATCAACAAACAACCATGAATATAAACGGTTAGATCGTGCGAGGAACCGAACCTGCACTCTTCGGAAGTAAACCCTAGATCAGAAGGCCGTAGAGTATTATGTTGATATTATAAACATATAATAATAATAATAATAATAATAATAATAATAATAATTTATTTATTTGCCTGCTACATGGTAATTTTGATCTTACAATATAATCGGTATAAGTAAACCCACCCCGTAGATCAAATATTGAAAATGATATCATAATTACAATTATGTCATTAAATTTAATTAAAACATTATAATAGGTAACAATAAAATAATAAATCAATTTATTTATTAAAACTATAATTACATGAGAATATATAAATAATCCAAGATTTATTACTGTTTCTCTTATGTTTATTTTCCTAAAGCAGCCTAGTTAATAAATGTTTTCTAGAAAAAATAAATTTAATTGATAAAATTTTGATTATTATAGCGTTATGGTAGATTTATTTCAATATTAAATATTTTATTCAACATAATATATGCGAAAAAATGTGTAATAATTTGCATGTAACATGAGCTTTATACATCATTATTTCAATAACATGTTATAATTTATAACACAATTATTGAAAAAAGAGAACCATGACAAACAAAATTTTGAATACCAATATAATTATCTACAAAAATCACATATTTACAATTTTATTTATATTTAGGGACTTCAACAATCTCTTAACTAGTAATATAGATTAAATTATCCATTTTCAAACAATTTTATAAGATATAATAATAATTTTCCATTTAATTCCTTGCTCGGATAGTAAAATTTTAGTTTTTATATACAGTCCCAATTTGAAAATAAGTAGTTTCATTTTTTTAGAAACACATAACTGATATAACAAATGAGTATTTTTGTCACTTTATGCAAAAGTTTATCAAAATGCAACCAAACCCCCTAAATATAAACGTATATGCTCAGTACCTTAATACAGTCTAGTAACTTCAGCCCCACCGTGACGCAATAGTGTAAAGAGACCTTAATAATTCTAACGCTCTTGTGTCCGATGCACCTTTTAGGTGTGGTTCGTGCGGTGCTATCCTAGCTTCCGCATGAGGTACATCAGGGGATTTCGTAGTTTTATCTTCAATTGGGGTCGTTTTGACAATAAACTTTTTATGACCCCTCCTATTGACTGGTGAAGACTTCACAGGACTTAATGTGGTAGGTATAATCTCTGTTACAACTTCAGTAGTTGTCCGCACTGCTTCTGTCACTGTTGGATTCGATAGAGAGTTAATTGCCTGCGACTCAGAGTTTAAACTTTTAGGTCTCCGCCTCTCATTCCTCTTATTCACTGTTGTTCCTACAGATTCATAATCAGTCGTAGTTAATGGAATCTCTTCGAGTTCCTCTTTGGCGATTTCATCCATGTCTTTTTGAGAAACTGCCATTAGAGCTTCTAATAAAGCTTTTTTAGAGGCCTCCGCTGTTGTATTGTGGTCATCGTCGCATGTTTGAACCAAAAGAAGTATCAATCTCTTAACACTTTTGGATTTAGTCTTTTTCATCACGTTCATGAGTTTCTCTGTAGTTGTAGCGTTCATACCTCCCATTATTTCCTTTGCTTTTTCTACAACAGTGTCCGTGATTGTGGATAAATCTTGAGCGGGTTCAGTTGATGTATGATCATTTATATACCTTCCAATTCGGTTATCAGATATGCTTGTAGGTGTTGTTACCTCAATAGTTACAGATGGCGATATAGATTGTTCACTAGAGCCAGTATATAATGACGAAACTGTGGTGGCCGTGTTGGTCTCCCAGCTATTTGTTTGTTTCGCTACTTGGGATACTTCTTCAGGTCCAGATGGGCTTAAACCATCATTTAAAGTAATAGGATCAATATACGTGGATTGCCAGTTACCAAAAGTGCTAGACCATTGAAATTGACCTGTTGTCTTTTCGACGTCGGGGGAAGTAAATATTTTTTCAGGAACCGACGAAGGCGTAGTAATATCAAGTTCCTCAGTTTTTACTGTCGTCGTCGGCGGTTGTTGAGTTGTAGTGAATACGGTGGTCGCTTCTGTGTCTGGTATTGATGGTGCTTCTAATTCTTCAGAGGGCTTTGGCTGTGATTTAATGTCCTCAAGATTTACTTGTTTTCCATGACGATTATTTATAATATTATCTTGTGGACTTACAAATGATTGACTATGCGCTCTCTGTAATTCCTCTTCATTTTCTAATTCAATACTATCAGTTTCAGTGAAATAAACAGGTGCCGTGGTTGCGATTTCGGCGGCATTCTTAATTTTCTTACTTTCAAAACCATCAAGTTGATTCACATTTGTCAATGGTACCGCCGAATCTGATATATCAATACCCCAAGCAGTTGGTAGGTTAGTAGATTGAACATATTCATTTAAAGGCTTGGCGTCTGTAGGATTTAATCCTTGACCGTATGGTGAAGCTGAATCAGATGCTGTATTTATACGGACTCCGACATAGGTAGGTGTTGCATAAGAGCTTTCGGTCGAGGTAATGAATGGTTCACTGTTATTAACAAGAGAGCTGATCTTAGCAGTAATGGTATTAGTAAAACTATTAGGCGTTGTCACAACAATAGGGGTGGACGCAGTAGTATATGAAGCAGATATTCTGCCACAACATCTGAAAGGACTTCTTGGAGTGGTTGTTTGGTAATTGCTTGGTACAGTTTCAGTAATAGCCACGTGTTGTGTAGTTGGTTGCTCAGTTATCGATGGATAATTAGTGGAAAGATTAATAGATTTTGCATCTCTCAAAGAAATCAAAGGCCTGGAAATTTTATTGTCATCTGAAAAACCTAATATTTCATCATCATCTTCATTCACTGTTGTTGTTGATTCAGTATTATATACTTCAGTTGCCATCATGTCTGCAAATGATGGATGAGTGGGTCTAATATCAGATAAAGCTTTTCTGAATTGTACCGGGTCTTGCAGGTATGCAGATAGAGCATGAGTAAATACTTGAGCTAGTTCTCTAATTTGAGGAGAAGTGGCAATTGGATTTTGACTCTGTTGAACAGTTAAATCTTCTGCTAGTTCATTGTACGTCCCATTAGTGTCTAATTTAATTTCTTCAAGCAAATCCTCTTTCATTTTGCCATTCGTAAATAGATTACTGTATTTATTGATAGTTTGCATACTGAAAAGCGCTGGCAACCCTTGCTCATATTCGTCAAATTGAGGTGACGTAGTTTCTGTTTCTTCTTCAGGTGATGAAGTGGTGGATATGTTATCTATAGCGGTTGCATAATAAATAGCTAAACTATGTAGTGTTTTTGGAGTCAATGATGGCGGAACTACTAATCCGGGTCGGTTAGGTAAATCTCCATAGTATTTGTCAGTTACAGTTGTAGGTGAAGTGGGTGATGAATATCCAAAGTTCTCAAAATTCAGTTTCCTGATAAGCCTGTCTCTTCGTTCTTGATATGCTTCAGTTGTAACTTGAATCAAATCATTTGTAGATTTAGAAAATATGTCTGACCTATCAGAGGAAGGTATTCCGGTGGATAGTAAATGCTCACTTCTGGTTGTTTGAGGTATTTTTGTTGCCGATTCAAATGCACTCTTTGTATCGATTTTAATATTTTCTGTAGTAGTTATAGGTTTAGTTTCTGTTTGGAAAGCTCTGGGAGTAATCTCGGTGATTTTCTCAGTTATAGCCCAAGTCTTATTCTTTTCTTTATCGAAAAAACTTTTTAGCAAGGATACTCCAGGTCTTGTATAGGGGTCTCGTCTATCGTACACACTAGTAGTGTAACTTTTAGTGTATGGCATCAAAGTAGGTCGCTTTGTTGTCGTATCTTGAGTTGAAGCCTGTTTCGTTGTTATGTCATAAGTTACTGTTCGCTTTGTAGTTGTTTCTTGTCTCCCCTGATTCAAGTTTTTGTCACGAATATCATATAAAGTAGTTAAATTTGGATTATTCTTGGTCTTGCTTGGTTTTGGAGTGAGATTAGGAGTATAAACTGGATAGGGTCGGTAGTTTTTACTATTATAATCCTGTAAAAATTGTCTATTATTGTTATTTGTAAATGATGCTGATTCAGCAGCGACTTGCATTTCTTTAATACTGTTGTAATCACCGGCAGCTAAGGTTGATCTAAATGAAGGAGCTTCAGTATAAGTAGGCAAGGTAGGTTTTACTGGAGTATTGCCGAAACCATTCGTAATCAATTGCACCAGGTTTCTTCTTTTGTTCTCAAAAGCAGCTGTAGTTTGTGTTCTTTGTGTTGGATTGGAGTCAAATAACCCTTGGTAGCTTCTAGAAGTTAATTTCGTGTTTGATACCGGGGAGTCAGCACGAAGTCTTTGTCGGTGTCTTAGGAGTCGTTCAGTAGCTGTAGGTATATTAACCGATGTTCTTCTAGATTCTGCTCGGAAATTGTTGTCGGTGCCAATTTGTTGGAGATCAGAATTCTTGCTGAGAACCTGCGTTATCTTTTGTGTCTTCTTTTGCTCATTTGAGTAATACTCAGCACTGGACTCATAGAGAGCTGGAGCTGATGCGCAGTCCACCTTGAACCACCAGTCACAGATGAGGTGGGACTGGCTGAAGATGGTGCCGTTTGGACACAGGAACGAAATCTTTCGTGATGTATCACAGATGTGAAATACCTGGAACGATAAAAAGAAACGCTATTTATATTTGATTTATGACCAATCAACAAGAAAATATATAATTTCTTCCTTTGAAACAATATAACATAAAAAAATAACATTTTAGGTGGTGGTTTTGCATTTTGTTAGAGATGTTAAGTAGGTGTCTGGTAAGATAAGGAATAACCAGATAACATGGATAATGGGAATTATCACTCCAAGACTAGGATACAATGAGGAAATACGTTTTGAATTCGATTGTATACGTATTTTAAAGTTTGTTATATGATATCTTTGCCGTCTCTGCTAGCGACTATGATAGTTCTACTTTCAAATGATAATAAAGTAAAATAGAGTACTAAGTGCTTTTTTGTGCTCATGTTGATAAAGACTAATTTATATGTTTATGATAAAAGGGTCTATTAGTGATGAATATTGACCTATAACCTGTAACCTGACGGTTATTCTTTTCCAATAATAACCGCCTCTATGAATCATCAATTTTCTATAGTTGTTCAGTATGAATCAGATTATATAGATTGTGGATATAGATTAATTTTAATATAGAAGTGATTGGGTTTACCTGGCACTCTGTCTCCAAGTCAGCGTAGTATCCTGTTGGTGCGTTCTTGCAGTTGAAGCCTGTATTTGGGATGTTCGGGTACGCCGGGAAGTCTATACCAGCCCTGCCTATCACACCTGAAACCATAATTGATTTATTTATTAATCAATTACTGACTCTCTCCTGCTAACACGTGTACTATTACTAGTAGGCATCTCCTTTTTTTTTATGAAGCTCATATTACTGTTATTACATGGGCTGTTTAGAAAAAAGTGAGTTATTTCTAGATGACAGAATTTTTAATAGTTGACATATTTTGATCAAATTGACACGGTCAGTTTAGGATACGTTAAGTATTGTATTTGATAAAGGATTCAAGAGGCTTCGGAGCATAAGACGAGCTTTAAAAGTGAATGAAGCAAGAACTGTATGTAACGACAGAACTCAATGGCACTCTAATCTCTCTGTCTACCACGCGATTTAGTGTAAAGATAAAATATCTTATATCAAACTACATCCAATTTACCATGCATTTCTCTAAGATCTTTTTCCCATGCAGAAGCACATTGGTATTACCTTCCAGCAATGATATTTCCGAACTGATAGGATATTGGAACCTTAAAAAAAGCTTATTCCTTCTTAAAAGGTCGGCAACGCAAATTCCCTGGTGTTGCGGATGCTCATAAGTGGCGGCAATCACTTACCATCATGTGAGTCGTTTCTCACTTATGCTATAAAAAATTACCTTGATGTTCAACAACGTCGAGGTCCGGCTGACTGTCAGGTGGTATCAACCGTTTGACCAGAGCGCGCCCCTCCGTATAGTGTTCAAAACCGGCCGCTCCCATAGCCTGTGCTATCGCCGTTAGACTCTCAGCGCTTGGAGCGGGTTCGTAGAGATCCGCAGATCGAGACGTGTCCTGGAAGTATATGGATAAACTGACAGTCTACTTTGTCGTTAGTGGCAACCGTCGCCTATATACAGGAACAGGACCACGGATATAATGTTATCGTGCGACACGCATTACGCGTTCCTTTTCTGAGGACTGAGATGTTAAACCGTCATACCCTGTAATTTCGCTGCCATAAATCTCTCTCTAAACGAAATACAACTTACAAAGATGAAATTGGTGAGATATCAGACCACTTTGTACAAAGTATACCGATGGCCAAAGGAGTTACATCCAGTTAAGATGTGCGGTTATAAGGTCGCCATTCTACTCGTCCTAAGTTATGTTGTGTGTTAACTATGAAAAAAAAAGTTTAGTAGTCTTTATCCTTAAGAGTGGAATAAAATCTCGGGTCACAATATTTTGCTAGGATGGAAACTCTGAAATTATCATTTTTTAATTTCGCTCACTATATGTACTTTCATCCAACTTAGGATAGGATAGTTTTTATCCCGATAAGAAATGCTTATATTATTAATTTATACTTATTTACCATATATTTAATTTCGAACAGTAAGTAAGAATTGGGCGAAATGTCATTTGTCGGGTTAGCTGTATTTGAATATACTAGAAAAATATATATAAGTAGTTATAGCTTAAAAAGCTCAAATGTAATAAATTAAGAAAGAATAGCTTTTGTTACCTTTCTGCGCTGCGCTGGTCTTCGGGCCGCGTCGCAAACGCCTGCAAATGTAATAAAACAATCATTGTCATCATGCAAAAAACTTGCATAAATATAATAGGAGGGTCCAATTACAACGATCTACAAAAATATGATTTGACACATTGGTCTCGATCGATCACCAACGGGGAAAAATATAAAAAGATATCACTCTTTTAGTAATGTTTACGCCTCTTTTAATATCAATTATCTCGAAACCCTAGCGGTACCGACAGACTAAATTCCATCTTGGAGTTGATCTTCAACCGCTCCATAATTTTTCCCGTAGATATGGAGTTCCATCTACACACACCCTACACAGCCTATCAGTTGTAGCCAACATCATTAGACTTCGAAAATCTAATCGATTATTGAGAACAAAAATTGACAGACGAGTTTTAAACATTAATCTTTTAGAATACATTAAATAAGAAAGCACCAGTGAATCATTCACTTCCGATCACAATATAGACAAAAAGAGCACACAATTATTAGTATAATTACTATCTTAGAGTTATTTAACGATCTATATTCATATCGATACGGAACAATAAGGCACCGTATTCACGACATATACATAATCGTATCCTAAATCGAACAATACAATCACTAATAAAACAAATCGCAAATGATCGACGCACAGTTGTTCCTCTGTGAATATTTTTTGTGCCCGTCTGCTTTCTATTTCATTCGGTTATTATTAATTATATTAGATAATACGAGGCGGTATTGAACTATTGACTATAAGATATGGGATGAGAAGCATTCATTGGAATTATATTCGGACAGTTCATTATTTCAAATATACTGCTATATAAATAAGAAGTAATAAGAATCGATTATGTCAAGCAGTTGACTGAATATGACAAAGAATGATCTATTCAAATAATTAATTATTCGAATAATAATAACCCCGGTCAATTCACACAGCGCCATCTAGTCCCAGGCTATGCAGAGCTTGTGTTACGAGTAGATATAAATATATATTTGTAAATATAATATTAAGTTTATTTACATGAGCATTCAATTTACATACCCAAACGGTATTGTTATACTGCAAATCATGTCTATGTTTTGTAGAGACAATAAATATTATTATTATTAATATACATAGAAAACATCGAGATCAATATACACTTTTGTATCATGCAAAGAATCGAACCTGCGATCATCGGAAGTGAGGCGGTGTATAAAACCGACTTGTTTGTTAAATGTTCTACTATCATCGATCTTCACTATCTGAGTGATGAATGAAAACAGTTCGATGATGTATTCGAATGTTTTCGTTTGATTTCATTCGTTATCGGAACTTCATGTGAACGGCAACTGATTATTTTATAACAGATTGGCAAATCTCTCGATAGTTTCATTACCTATAATTAATTAGATCGATCGCCCATCTCTAGTATCGACGTAATCGATACGCAATCGGCTCGTTTGTAATCAATCAATTTGCAAAAATATGAGGAAATGGTACGGGGGCGTTTGCTTTCTGTATTGCCACAGGTCAAAGTTCTTTTAATTAATTTGAGCTCCAATTAAATTTTTGAATCTTCATATTGTATAATAGATCTATTTTATAACCGTTGATAATGAAATGGTGCACCCGCTTGCGCTAACGGTTGGACACCAGTCGAGGATGATAAGATGAGCATAAGGTCAAGTCAGTTAGCCCATAATAACAATTTAACCAGGAATTTATCACGACTGTTTCGAGTGGAACCGCGCGGAGGTCAACTTGAATTAGCCTAAATTAGTATTTGTAGGTGTTTAGTATCAATGGAAAGTTGATGGAGTTTTTATTCCTTATCCCAGTAATTCTTTGTATAATTACTGCCTTAAAAATACCAGGAATACAAAACATAGGCCAAAAGTTTGTCACTACAAAGAAAATATAGTTTATGGTTTAAATTTTTACATGTCAAAACTGAGAAAATGTACATAATATTCATGAAGTATAACTAAAGTAAATCACACTTAACCACAAAAAACAAACAGAATTGCATAGTAAATTCTTTTTTTATGTTTATGGCACTGGAAGACAATTAGTTTTAATTTTACATTCAACATATAAGACGGTCAATCATAATCGTAGCCGTACATTTCTACACTGAACAATTATATTTCATAATACGTAAATACAATAATAATTTAAATATGCACGGTCACTCGTGTATTGTGTAATTAGAGAACAGTTCAACAATGTCTCATTATGAGGACTTATTGTTACAATTTCGAGCGCACAATAGTTCATGTCAATAGTACGTGAAAGCGTTACGAAGGTACATGCGCGATGAAGCCATATCCGAACATATCTACTATGAACATATCTACTGGTGATCTTAAACGTGATCTGTATTATGTACGTCTAGTTCACGAGACAGTGCTGAGTTTCTTGTCAGTTCCTCTTAGCTCGAATGTTCTACGAACTGACGGTAGTTTTTGATATATAAGAGTCTGTAATAGACCTACATGAATAAAGATATTTTGATTGTATGGTAATAGTAATTCTAAACTAATATCATTCTTACTACAATCATATTTTTTTTATTTTTTTTTTATTTTAGAGGCCAATTTCGTCAATTAATTTCACAGAGCCGAAAACTTCTAAAATGTTTAAGGTAGTTGTATTACAAAGCCTATTGAAAGTCAGTCGCTGTTCTGTTAGTTGGTAGAGGAGCAGGACCCCTCGCAATTTTTTTATTTAAATAGACCATATGTACTAGATGTTGAAAGTGCATATCTGTTTTACTTAGGTAATTTATTTCAATTCGTTGTTTACTGCTTTATAGATGGTAGAGGTGTATGAGCTTCGCAACCATTTTTTTTATATAAAAATAGACCTTATGTTTTATAACTTTAAAGTTCATCAGTTCTTACTTGGGATATTTATTTTAATAACTTGTTTATTACTTAATAGAGGGCGTATACCTGTCAAAATAAATTTACTAAATAAGAATTGATAATGATCTTTAAAGTTACAGAATATAAGGTTTTCAAAAATCTTTTAAGTTTCCTGTTTCTCAATTCGCCCGTGGAAATGCTAGAAAACGTTCACTAGGCCTCATAATAGAAGTACCTTAAGCTTTATATAAGTTTTCAACGTGGAGGAAATTGGTCGTATTGACCTGTGGCTGGCTCGTGGACTAGTCATGGTGTCGGGTTAGTTCAGTGTGAGGTTTGTACTCAATGCCTATGTTAATAAGTTGTATATTTATGCTACGGAGGTGGTAAATAAGTATACAAAGGGAAAGAGATTGTCGATGATCCCGATATCACAGGTCGTATCGAGCTCCATCTGATGCGAGACTTAGCGTCGCTTTGTGTTCTATAGAATGTATGAAGTCCTCTTTACTAATAACGTTTATTTGGTAATATATATTTAGATTATGTATTTAAAAGTGAAATAAAGAATACCTACATAGTATGACGGATTGTGTTTTTAGGTAGAGTTTAACATATTTTTAAAACCATTTTCTAACAACGCACTCCTCGCTAACGACAGGCATTTCTTTCGAGCTATTCTAATGCTGTTGGCCGTAGCTAGCCTTTACAATTTCACGGAAGAAAAAGGGAACAAGTGCAGGACATACTCCAAACCAACGGAATGACTTAGGAAGCGTGTGAAGTTCACACGGCTTCATCTAGTCCCAAGCTAAACAGAGCTTGTATTATAGGTACTAGACACAAATATATAGATACATTTTTTGTAAATACATATGTAATATATAAAATAAAACACCCAAACCGATAAAGCAATCATACTTATAAATATAACTGTTACAATTTAAGTTGTGCTTGTAGAAAAACACAGCTTGGCGGTTGAAATAGGTGAGAATGAGGTACTCACGCAGACCACTTTTCACTGTTTATTTCTAATAAACCTTAAATAACGCCTAATAATTGTTATACTGTGATATTCACATTAATTAGCGTCTAAGACACTATATCTACACGGATATAAATGGAGGATGTGCATTTATATTCATGCATCACTACAAAAGCTAATCGTGAGAAGAACTGAGCCCGATAATGTCTGCGAATAATAAAATTAGCGCCTCGGGGCAGGCGGGGCTCGTCGGATTGTTTGTACTAGTCGATAAATATCTACCACTTAGCTGTGGGCTTTTAATTTAAATCGCTAGCTTTGTAAGTAAGATTGAGGTTAAACTTCCATTATGTTAGGTCTTAGACACCAATATCTTAATTATGTAGGTATATCTGTGAGGTAGAGTTAAATATATGTTTGGATCGATAGGTATGAGATTCAGTGTGACTAAACTTGTATTAAAGATTGATTTTTATTAAAAAATATCTGACCCCACGAACTGCGTTCCGCCTCAGAATTAAATAATACGTCAATAGTTTTTTGAAGTTTAGTAACGCAATAAATTTCTGTACGCACCGTTTGACAGGTACGAACAATTGTTGTGAGAATTGTTTTTATTTTTACTAATTTCCATGCAATTTCTATATATTTTCTAACCACTTAAACCTTCCTTGGAATTCTACAAATATTTCAAAACAAAATTAACCAACCGTTAACGAGTTTTAACGAGATTAACAAACGTCATTTCATTTTTACATACAATATATATATATATTTAAACACTAGCGCCCGTACCCGCGCCCGATGCATTACAACTCTTAGAATTTCTCGGTTGATTCGATACTATAACAAGCATGTGTCATTATTCCTCTTGAATCACTCTATCTAGTGCTGAAAACTACATTAAAATCCGTTGCATAATTTAAGAGATATAAGCGAGCAGAAAGCGACGACGGCGACTTCATTTTATACTATGTAAAGTTACATATACCTATTTCGAAATTTATTTTCTGGGGATCAGAATTATTTAAGGTTTGTCATAGTCCAGGTGCAATTATTAAAGGGATCCTAATATTTGATTCCATGTGTCTTACTATCATTGCCATAAGTCTGGACGTAAAGTATTTTTTAACCCCACAAGTGACAAGGTCAAGGACACAACCCCACAAATATTTGGCGCTAAAAATACATACA